TCTTGTTTATGAATTCCCTACTCCGTCTTCGTGGTCATCATTGACATATTTCAGTGACTTTTTCTCTATTTTTTTTTTTAAATAACTACATGTTTAATTTGAGCAGTTATGTCCAATTTCTACCCTGTCAGGATAATAGCAAAACTGAAAATTAAAAAAAGGTATGATTAAATCTATGAGGTTGTTGTATATACAAATCCTTGGTTAAACCTCATAGATGCTTTTTTTGTATATAATTAAGTGAAAATAATCCGGCCGGGGAGGTGAGTTGCATTTGAAAATGCATATTTTTCACATTAACATATATATTATTAACTATACAGATCCTTGGTTTAGCGTTCAAAGTATATAAATCTAGAAATTTGAAAGAAACAAAATAAATAAATCAAATGTAAAACATTTAATATATGTTTGATACTAATAGTGACCAAACTGTATATATATATATAGCTGCTTGGCATACAGCTTGCAGTCTTCTAGAATATGAATGAACTATTTTTGTAACCCAATGTGTGAAAGAACAATATTTAACAAGGTGTATATATTTAGTTTTTTCCTAGTTTGCAGCAATAACTACTGCTTCTAATTCATACTGAGCAACCATGTTGCTCGAGTCAGATTTTTTATCAGTTATCGTAGTAGGAACAGGTAAGTTATAAATCTTATAAATGTCATAAGTGTCTCTTATATCTAGAAGTGGTAACGTAATGATAATGATTATTTTGTTTTCGTCCAAAACTGTACTACAGGTCAAAAATTTATAAAAATTCCATATATCTTTAATTTCGTCACCGGGTATTTTTAATGTCACCGGTAGTCGTCGTTTTATGTCAGTCAATAGTACTCTTAAATTACCGGGTGAGATAAGACTAGGTGACATGTGTCCTAACATGGAAGTAATATTTCCATGGTTTAAATAATCCCCTGCTATGTTCATGAGGTCTTTAATTTCACCTATAATTATGTCCATATGCAAATAAGCTTGTAAATAACTTCCCATAACTTCAATTTGTTTTTCTAAATCCGTAGCAAAAGTTTTAAGTCTATTTCCAAGATCTTGAACACTTTCAATCAACTCATTAACCTTGTGTCTATTTTCAGATACATGTGTTTGTGTGGTGTTTAAAATAGTTAACCCATCTTGAACAATATGAGAATTGCATCTTGATTTTGTGCTGAAGTTTTGATATTTCTTCGAATTTTTGACAGGTCGCTGTCTGAAACAGTACCAAATAAAAAACTTAATGCCTTGCCTATAATGGGAAATAAACTGCGTTTAGTTCCAAATTTTGCCGTCTCGTCATAATATAAAGATTTGTAATCATTAAATTGTGATCGTAAATAATCTTTAGTCCGATTTAATCCTTCAACCTCCCTTTGTAGACTCAAGATAGTAGCCAAAATATGTTTTTTTTTCTGGGGTGTAGAACATAGAAATTGTGTGAACCTTTTGTGTAGCGATAAAAGCCTTGTTTAAGTCTTGTTCTATTTTATTTAGAAATAATTCAAAAGGATCCAAGTCTACGACAAAAGAAATGAGCCAATTTGACCTTGTTGTTGATATTTCTTTAATTTTCTGGAACATGACATTTTCCTTGACAATGAATTGGCTGGTTAAGCCAAAAAGAACAAGTGAGAACCACCACCACTTCATCATCGATTCTTCCTAAAAATAAGGATACAGATATAGATTATTATAATATATTTTATTTGTATTGTCTTTATTAATTTAAAAGTTCGTAGGAAAGTCCTGAATAAAATATTTGTTTGTTTGTCTTTACAAATTTTATCACAAGATTAAAAATGCGAATTCTGTGCATCCTTCTGGCTCCATCTAAGATGACCTCCTGATAATAAATACCAAAGCGATTGGACCGTCTTAACCATCCAATTGCTTTGCAATCTTCCACGGTCCACTTTCTCAGATGCTCCAGGTAGGGTATATTATGAATTTCCGCAAAATTTGTTCTTCTTCCTATTATTTCTGTAAACTTTGAGGGTAACCCACAATAGTTGTCAATTATTATCGCTTCTGATAAATTAATTAATTTTTGTATGGCATGGAATTCCTCGTTTAACGGTTTATTTTGCTTGGCCCTCTCTAACCTGAAGTCCCGGCGGTCTTGTACCTCCTGAAAATGGTTGAACATTTTTCTAGCAACAAATTAATTTTCCTAAACTAGAAAACAAGAAAAATAGAAAAGGGGAAGTAAAAACACTCAGTTCAGTTGTTATCAAGATAAATACAATATTCGCTATTGTATTGATCCTGAAAAAAGACTCGTGTACCACCCCATCCCACTAAAACCCAATTTTATTTATAGAATACACAAAGCGTGTACGTAATTTTACATGAAGTGGCAATGGCGTATCTAGAAATTTTCACTGACTGCCTAAGAGGGGCCCGCTGCAGTCTGCTTCAGCGATTCCCGAGTAAAATCAGCCCATTTTTTCCCACAAAAAAAATCCGAGAGGGGTGTCAATAAGCTGAAATCATAGTAAAACTTGCTATAAATAAATCAGTGGCGGATCCAGGGGGGGGGGGGGGGGGTCCGGGGGTTGGAACCCCCCCTTTTGTTTTGACGATGAATGCATTTGAATGGGGACATATAGTTGGAACCCCCCCCCCCCCCTTTATCCTGGGTTAGGAACCCCCCCCCCCCCTTTTTATAAATGGCTGGATCCGCCCCTGTAAATTGTTCGACCATTCATCTTTTGATGAGGTGGAGAATGGCTTCGAGATTTATAATGCTTTTTTTATACCAAAAAACAAAATATATTATTTTTTAACCAAGGATTTATATAGAAATACTTTTTAAATCCTTATTTAAGATTCTTTTATATCTAAAAAAAAAAAAGGAGTTTTACACATTCATTGAAAATATTTTTTTCCATCTCCCTTTTAAAATAGTTACTAAATGCATCTAAATAAAAGATAAAACTCTCGTCTTTGAAATAAAACAGCACGATACATGTGCTCTTCGACCATGTTGTTGTTGTTGAAGTAAGGGAGGAGTTTATTGTTCAACATGTAATTGCCATCCAATCGCGTATTAGGAAAAAACTTTACAGATCGTAGTCGAGGCTCATGAATATAACATATATCTCAACAATTGCTACCAGACGTTATTGTTCGCAGTAAGAACGATAACTCTGGTGCAACGAGTCTAAGAAAAGAAAATATACCTACTGATTTGGAAACTTTAATGTACGGTAATGATATGTTTAATATGGACATAAACACGTTAATTTTCACAAAAGTGCAGAAATATATCAAAGAGACCAATCGCTTTTCATAGTGTATAGATATTATGGTTAAATATATAAACATTTATAGTGTAATTACTTTTTGTTGACTTCGAGGGAAATTGTTAAATTTTTCCAAAGACATGGATCATCCATTTGATTTTATATATAATATCATATCAGTTGACAACAACAATCTAATTTAATTGCTTTAAGATAAAAACTTACCTTTAGAGTGAATATTTATTCCCAGATTAAAACAGCCTACTAGGTCAATCATCAATAAATTTACGGTCAACTCGACTTTTAGAAATCGATGAGCCATGTCGTTTAAATTCTTGTTCATTTCATGTCTCCATATTAATATTGTTTATGATGTTATTATTATGTATTTTATTTTGTTCGGTTATTTATTATTTGTATGTAATGGAGAAGACGTTCTAAGTTGCAAAACTTTTGTCTGATCCTATTGTCAATGTTTTTGACAATAAAATATGTTTTTATCAAATGAAATTTTATCACGGAATGTGTTCGTTCTCTTCTCCGATATTTTTCACGATGTCATACATGTTCATAGCTGTTCATAGCTCCGTGTTGAAGGCCGTACTTTGACCTATAATTGTTTACCTTTTATACATTGTGATTCGGATGGAGAGTTGTCTCATTGGCACTAATACCACATCTTCTTATTTATATCATAATAACATGGATGAAAACTTGATTAGATCTGTACTTATTTGTTTATAATCAAGCATATTATTTGTTTATAATCACGCATATGTATACATATAAGAAGAAGTTTTCACATATTTTATTGTTAAATACACAAAAGAATCGACCGTTAAATCTAGGTTGGTCCACTGCAATTAGACAACAAACATTTTAATACACACACATCAGTGACGAATAGCATACAGGGTAAAACAAACAAACGAATTACATGAAATATAAAGGGAAAACCAATAAGTTGTCTCATTGGCAATCATACTACATCTAATTTTTATATTAAGTTAATGCACAGTGGAGCTGTAAAACAATGTATACTTCATGAAAAGAAAATAAATATATGAATTCGGAAAATCAAGATAATCTTTTCTCAAATGCATATATAATTACAGTGATTTTACCTGATATTTACAAATTTATTGTATTTTTTTTATAAGTTCTAGGATCCAATAAAAAGTAGGGATATTTTCAACGTACGTTTTACTATCTAATATATTTATAATTATCTACTCTTCCGTAAATGATGAAGGTTTGTAAATGGGATTCCCAGATTAAATGTGAATTCCAAGATGTTTGTAAGAACAACTATTAATTTTAATCTCTTACATTCTCATCCTTTCATACAAATCATCGGACAAATCAATAGCATAATCATTGTTGAGCTGTTAACATAAACAAAGTTAAGTTTACATACCGAACCTTTAGAGGAGAAGATTCTATATGCAAACTGTATAATCTCACTAGAAAGGATTTTAAACTTTATCAGATATACATTTCTTGTAATTGTGAATGATGTGATTGGTAGCTAAACAAATAAACTGAACTTAAAATCATAGAATTATTTTGACATGAATACACGGGAATGGTAAATTTATGTTATAAAATCGTACTTTTTTCTGAAAATTGACATCGCCATTGGTAGAAAAAACTGTGTTTAATTACAACTATCTTCATAAGATTTAAGGACAATTGCAGAAAAACCTATAAAGAGAGATTAGAAAAGTGGATCTAACATATTGAGTGGTGACATGTCTAGCTTGAGGATTTTAGTTTTCCTTACACTGTTTATAAAGATCGGAGGACAGAGTGGTGATGATGTTAAACATTTAATCACCCAATTATTTACAACAAATGATTATGTAAAGCAAGTACGGCCAAATAGAAATCAGCTACAGCCTATGGTTTTGGATTTAGATTTTTTTCTTGTTGGAATAGACGAAGTAGACGAACTTAAACAAAGATTGATTACAACCGGATACTTGATTATTGGATGGACCGATGAATATCTGAATTGGACTGGCGCAGACTTTGGCGGATTATACCATTTATACGTTCCACAAACAGATATATGGATGCCTGATATAACATTAAAAAATGGTTTTACGAAACTGGAGAAACTTGGAAGCAGTTTTATTAAAGCCAAAGTAGAAAGCAACGGACAGGTTACCTGGATGCCTTTTGAGGTTTTTGAATCAAAATGTACAATAGACATTACGTATTTTCCTTACGACCAACAATCCTGCAACATAATTTTTGTTGTGTGGTCAAGTAGTGTTGCAGATGTGATGGTAACCCTATGGAATAATGGAATTAAACTTGACAGCATGGAGGATAACGCTGAATGGTCAGTTGTGTCCACATCTGCAAGAGAGAACGTTCAGTCGTCCGAATCTACAGTAATATTTACACTAAACTTGAAAAGGAGTTCGAACTATTATTTGATGAATATCATCATTCCAATCATTTTACTGAGTATTTTAAATCTATTCACATTCGCACTTCCAGCTGACAGTGGTGAAAAAATGGGTTATTGTATAACGGTGTTTCTTTCGTTTGCCGTTTTCCTTACAATTGTCAGTTCCGAGCTTCCCAAAACATCTGGATCTATATTGGGATATTATTTAATGTTCCAGCTAGGTATGGGAACTTTTGTTGTATGTTGTACAACTATAGAACTTCGGCTTCACCATCGTAAAGGCGATGTTCCCGTGACCATCATTAGGATAATGAAATGCCGAAATGTGAATAAAATTACAAAAATGGAACATCAAAATGATACAGAAAGCGAACAAGGGATGACATGGAGTGATGTAGTTTCATCGTTAGATGTTGTATTGTTTTGGGTATCAACTGCATTGGTTATAGTTGCTACAATAGCCTTTCTTGGATTGCTTTGGACAAGATAGACAAAACATACTCCGTGTAAAAAACTGATTAAAAATTCCGAAAAAATATACTAGATTGTAAGCCGCTGTAATATTGGGCAATATGTTGTAAGTTGATTTGTACTTTCATGAGCTACAAGGAGGATGCTAAATCTTTAGTTTTCTATGTAGTTGTTTATGGACTTATTAGGCTTTTCTTCGTTTTTCGTTTTGCCTTTGCGCCGTTACTTTTTCTTCGAATTATGAGTTTTGCCATTGCGTTAGTACTTTTTCTTCGACTTATGAGTTTTGAATTTTCCCTTCTTCCAACTCTTGTTTCGAAATTGTTAGATTCATAATGAAGTCAGATACTGATTTTATGTTACACTACGTTTTCAATATCAGTTAATCATTTTCGTCTTTAGCTGAGTTAAAGTAGACACTAAAAATGTCTCAATCCATAAATATTTTGTTCTCTTTTCTAAATCCTATTTTCAGCCTAACCCGATCTTTCGTAGTTTTTGTTTTTTTAAGTTGTAAACCAGAAAGCGTCAAAATTTCTTTTAAACTTAATTCAAGGCTAAAAATTAAGAAAGATGGTTGAAATGTCTTGAAACTAGTAAATTTTTTAAGTGCAAGTCAAATCGTCAAAACAAATTTGAAAACGTTAACTGTTAGAATCGTGACTTTTTCTTTAGGTCATGATTTCGAGAAATATAAAGAATGAGATAATTTGACCCCTTACCTTCGGAACTACTATTTTTTGCCCCCTGTTTTGTATGGAGTTCCAGACTTTAAAATTCCATATTTGCATAATATAATTGTGTTCCTCATACGCTCTTGTCTGCGTTGATCTTTTTTAGAAACAATTTTTTTTAATCCAAGGATAAATACGTGTGGAGCTATTTTTCACACAAACAAAATCTCCTTTTGAGGTCAACCTGGTAGGAGGGATTTTGAAACTTACATTCTTTAAGTTTTCAACAGAGTGTTTCAGAAAGGTATGTTTAAATCCTGTCAGTACCGCAGTACTGACTGCTGAGCTTATGATACCTTCGTCCAGTAGCAGATTCATAACTGGTCTTATTGATCTTGAACGGTTTAGATAGCCATATTTTATATAGACAAAAGATCCAACACCAACATGCCCTAAAAATAAAACAAAATGATTTTTTTTTTCAATTTCCCTTCTTCCAGCTATTTTTTTTTTCTCGTCATATATCATTACCTTTATATTATGCTTAAAATTTAATTTAAAAGCTGTTTTGTTTGTTAAGCTGTTCTGATTATTTGTTTACATTTTCGACTTTGGTATATTTCGCCTCTTTTTTTCAAATTATCCCCAATTTAGACAGTAAAGATTGTGTTGTTATGATTTCAAATTAGTGGTTATTTTTAATGTACATATATTTGTTTTATGATTCTTATCTTAGATGCAAAACCATATTCATGAAATTATTATAACTTGAACAGACATGCACGTAACGCATACTTTCTGACATATAAACACTCGCCAAGATATACTCATTTTGTGCTAAGGTTTGCTTTAAGAAACAAACTGCTGATAAATTAATCCTGTTAGAACCGTCATATTTGTCAAACGATATGTTACTTCTGTGAAATGAGAAGTTTGATATTGGAAATGGTATTCCAATGTTTTCACCAAAATTCATGAAAAAAGAGATTTGAAAAAGATCCCACGACATATGTATAGTCATTTTGTGCTAAGGTTTGCTTAAAAAAACAAATAGCCAATCAATTTATAATGTTGAAAACAGCTTATTGGTCAAACGGTCTGTTACTTATACGAAATGAGAAGTTTGATATGGGGAATTGGAATCCAAATTTATGAAAGAAAAGATTTTAAATTCGTCCTTTTTTCCTGTGGTACCACATAAAAAAAAAGAAACTGAAAATATTTATTTTTCTATACCTGATACTAAGTTCACAATTTTTTTTAATAACGAATGATTTAAAGCTGGCTCGTCTAGATATTCGATAAACCATCTTAAGTTTTACTACCATATTTTTCTATAATAACAGTACAATATCGCCATCATTATATTATGATTTAGAATACTCTATCAGCGGTATATACATGCTTGAAAATGTTTTCATTTTGATCATTATTTACCCAACAGTTCTCTGCAAGGAAATCTAACGGCGCAAACTACAAGATTTGATTTTAATTATATTCAGTTTTGTAGATTCCTTGTCCAAAGAATTTTAATACCTTCAACGATACGTCTGTTGAATATTCATAAGTTTATACTTGCAAAATTGATTATATAAATAATATTAAAAACGTAATAAAAATAAAGTATTGAACTCAAAAACAAGAATACCTATGAAAGTGGAAATCTTAAACCCAATATAATTTTTACTCAGTCTTGCTTTGTTGTTTTAATTATAATTTTCATATAGAGTTAACGGGGGCCTTGGTGACCGAATGGTCTAAGTAGTCAACACTGAGGTTGTGAGTTCGAATCCGGCACATGGTAAGTAAGTTCGACTACAAATCTTAATTGACTAGGATATAGAAATAAGAAGATGTGGCATGATTGCTAATGAGACAACTATCCACAAGAGACCAAATGACACAGAAATTAGAACATTAATATAATGAAATATGAAGACAGCTCTCTCACAAGCAAATAACCCTAACTGTAAAATATAAGGTAGTCTATTTTTCGGTGGTTCTCTCCAATCAACACTAATCAATCAACCAATCAATCAATCATAGAGTTAACACCATTTCGAATCAATCTTACATTAAAATATATTTTTATAATGTCCTAATGATGCTAATATAAAAAAGCATTTCTATTATAGTGTGTGATAATATTTTGTGAGGAAATTCGATGTTTGCTATACCACGGTTCATTTTGCAACTCATTTTATTACAATACGAAGGCCTCAGGGAAGATTAACATGTCATTGTTAAATGAGTAATCTTCGTTAAATAAAGAATTTTATTATTATTATTTATTTATACCACAATACAAATCAGAATGAAATTTTTCGCAGTGTTTCAAGAAACGATTTCACTTTGTATCCATGTATTATTTGTGAAACAATAAATGTTTTAAAAGGGCGAATTTTCTGTATTAAGTCGATAATTATGTAGACTTTTGAAGCCCAAACTTTCTATTGCCTTAACTACGAAAATGAAATATCCAAAAACTATACCGATAAAGAACGACATTTTTAAAATGATAGCAAAAGTTTTGGTTGATAAATTTTTTTTGTTATTACAAAAAATAAAGTTAGAATATCTGTCATTTTCTCCCTACCCAGTTTACTGCCTATTTTTGGACATCAAAATTCAATACGATCGTTTTAAGGTCAATTTCTTCTACCTCACAAAATCTTGTTAAGCACTATAAATAATTTTAATTGTTTACAAGAGAACTGTTGGGTATGATGTGACTCGAACCAGTATATGAATTTTACAAGTTACCAATGGTGCAACCTATCACAATAATGTTGGTAATATGTGGAACTCTTCAAATCATTATAATGATTTGTAATGTATTGTATTGCATTGTATTTCATTGTATTTGTTGTATAGTGTTGTAGTGTGACGTGGTGTGGTGTGGTGTGTGAATGCTCTTTCGATATTATAACAAAACAAGTTGTTTACTAAGACAAAACTTCATAATAAACTCATCATTGGTACCAAGGTTACTTGTGTCTCATCACTTTGGCATATTTAAGCAAATATAATATGTTTAAAACTAATTTTGAAATATCGTTTGTTTGCTGATATATCAATCTACCGAAGCCAGAATGTATGCTTTATATCTTTCTTGATTTTGACACAGATGGACAACTTCTAGATTTCACGTTGTCAACTACAACATTCCGAGAAGTAAAAGAGAGGCGAAAGATACCAAAGAGTCATCCAAACTCTTAAGTTGAAAATAAACTGACAACGCCATGATAAAAAAGAAGATGTCAAAAAGACAAACGACAGTACACAAAACACAACATAGAAAACTAAAGACTGAGCAAATCGAATGCTTACAAAAACCGAGGGTAATCTCAGTTGCTCCGGAAGGGTAAGCAGGTCCCTCTGTAATATCGTTTGGTGTTGACATATCTCGATTGATACGTTATGCCGTTCAGGTTCACATTGTTCGGATTTCATTAACATTGGGATACTCCTGGCAAAAAAATTGTAAGGAAACATTACTGAAATGGACATATCATACGAGTAACGGTTACCGACACCAATAGATTGACAAATTCGAAAGGCATTTGTTCCATGTTCTACGGTTAACAATCTTCAGATACCAGAACAGTTACTTGTCATGTGGACATATCCGGTTCCGTTTGGAGTTCATGTGACTCCCTCAATTTTTCATTTCTTTTACGGGGGATAATGAAATCATAACTTGAAACATCAGTAAACTGTTTTTCACAAAAAATTTGTCATATCTCTTAGTGATAGACGTTTATTTTGCTAATTTCAAGAAAAAGATCATGATATGAAACAAACATCAGTTTCAATAGAGTCTTTAATGTCGAGTTCGCAAAATATATATTCAGGTATTTTTTTATGATATAGCTCCAAACGTTTCAGCATACAAAATGTATTAACGTATTCCTGGTATTTTAATGTTTATAGAGATTTATTTTGTTGATATGCAGGCGCTTGATGAAACAGGAATTCCTGAGTTAATGGACATTATCAATATTTATCTGAACGTCAAACTAAGGTGGTGTGCAACAGTTTCTTTTTGTTCTCCTTTACAGAAACAACAAATCGCTTTTTATGAGACGGTGTAGTCAATATTTTATCTCAGGGTTGGGAATAGAAGTGCAGAGTCTGGAAAATCAAGTGTTGATATTGCTGTAAAATTCTCTAATCAAAGCGATTAATGATTATCAAATAGATCTCATGACACTTTTAGAATTAATATCTGATTGTCACAAAAGATCTTCTTTCACTGTATAAAGAATGGTGACAAGATTCATTGAAAGTCGTAAAACAGAATATGACATATGTTCTAGTGAAATACTGAAGAAAGTCTTCACAT